TGTCAAATTTTATTATTAATGTTTTAAATAAACAAGTAATTGATTATTGACGACGTGGGTTGTTGAAGGAGAGCGGTGTGGTAAATATTAAATATAAGGGTAAAAGTGACTTTTCTCTAAGACAATCTTTATTTGTTACATTAAGTATTATGTATAATGTTTCTATGATTAAAAAAATTATATGAATTTTGTATCTATAACCCTTACTATTCACTTTATTTTATTTCTTAGATGATTATTGTCGTTAACTAATTTTCTAATTTTCATCACTTACATAAAAAATATTCATAATGAATAATAAAATATTGAAAGTATTTTTATTATGTAATTATAACAATCAATAAAACAAGTAAAATTTTTCTATACTTATTTTTAACTCTACTTTTTCTTGTTAAATTTCACTAATCTCTAGTTTAAAATAGATGTCAATTTCTTTATATTTTTAATTGAAATGGCACTTAGATCTCTTTTAGTTTTAAATAGATATTAATATTCTTAATTTTTGTAATAAATAACTCTTACCACCTCCTTTATATTTCAATAAAGTAACATTCATCTCCTTTATTTATTACAAGGTGGTATTATACCAACTAAAAAGAAGTCATTTAAGATATGAAAAATTGAATGATATAGTGTTATAAAAATATAAATTAATGTGATGTCATTGTTACTAATATAATTAAAAAGAGGTGAATTTCTATTTTAAAAGTATAGTGTGATGTCATTTTGTGGTCTTTGGACGAGTTTCTTCTATTCTATTGAATTTATTACTATTGCATTTTCCATACTGTTAAGTGTTGCTATAACTTGACGAGTTTTCATGCGTGGTGAGGATTAAACATACATAGTCTCTATAATATATGAACGTTATTTAAGAAAACTTCAGAAATAAATAAGTAAAGAAATAAAGAAATGCCATTTACTCAAAACACAATAAATATAAATGTCTATTTAAAAATCACAGATGTATATAAATATCATTTTATAAAAACAAGAGGGAGCGGTACATCTCTAGTTCAAAACTATTAATGGCATTTATGTTTTCTCCTAAATTCAATTGAAAAAGAAATATATCTTTAATTAAATAGTTTAAACAAGTTTTAAAATTTAAATAAAAATTAAAAATATAATTTTAGATAATAAAAAAAGTGTGCTAAACGTCATAGGAGAACCTATGAGGTTGAATAACATATATTACTCCTAAAAGTGTTGATGTTGAAGAAAAAAAATCTTTTACATGTGGTAACGTATAAGAAAAATATAACCAGGTCATCAAACTTAAAGTCGCATGAAATTAAATCTTAATCATTTACGTGTAAACATTCATCAGAATATGTTTGTGGGAGTGTTTGACAATGTTGATAGTAATAAAAACTTGAGAACTGATTTCAGCCTGGGAGTCAACAAGGTCTTACTGAAACAAAACCAATCCTAAAAGTTGCAGGCTGGACAAATGATGAAACATTGGTATTAGCAAATGGAAAAAAGAGGCATGAATTCCATCCCTTGGCAAGAAGCAGTTACAGGTAATGAGAAAAGGAGATAAACAATGGAAGTTTGTAGAATAAGGGATTTTATTAGGAATATAATTAAGGAGCATTTTTGCATATTGTTGTTTGGTTGAGAAATAAAATTGATATGATGAAGAAAGTGAAGAAAGGTTGAAAAAGATGTGAAGATGTGTTCTCCATAGTGTTAGGAGACATACTAACATATACGAGAGAGAGTTTGACAATAGATACAGGATAGTCTTAGAGAAAGTCTAGAAAGGCATTACATATATATAGTACTGAGGGATGCTTAAATCCCCTACACATGCTTCTGCTTACATTACCCTTAGCATTCATCTCCTATCATACTAGAAGGCAAACTACAAGTAGCAGAACATATCTCAACTCTCAACACTAACACTTCATCTGCAAACATAAAAAGGGAAACAAAAGACCTACGTTAATATTTTCTACCGACACTTGGTAGTGTTAAGAAGTATTCAAACAACAAAAGGCATGCATATGATTACGTTAGCTTACACTAATTGAAGGGACATCTGATCTTGTCGGGCATACTGACTATTGGGTTGTAATCCAGTGACTTGGAAGTAACCACGAGAGTCAAATGGCTGCTGAGACTGCATAGAGTCATAGCTTGTGCCTCCAGGCAACACACCCATATTGTGGCTCCTCTCACTTTCAGCTATCTACACCACAACCCAACCAAAACCTACTTAACTACACATCATCATGCACTTACAAACCACCTTAAAAAGGACACAAACAGATCCAAAAACAAACCTTCGCTCGAAGAAGCTGGTTGTTGTTGTGCAAGTCTATCTCCTGCAGTGTACATTTTAGTTATCATACTTTGAAAGCCACAATGTGGTTAGGGCAATACACAACATATATAACATCCTATTATTTGAGTTTGCCATAAAATAAATAAAGACCTATATTCTTTCCCTTTCCTACCATTTCTCCAATTCAACAACCTAGGATCAACACAGAACTCAGCCAGACACATAAACTTAGATTCTGTTTTCATACTTGATTTTGTAAATAGGCTGCGGCTATAATACACTACCAGCATACACCCTTTTTAAAACTTTCTCACAGCTCCAACAAAATAGTATCATTGTTTCTTGGTACGAAACAAGTATTTTTCAAATGCACCAGAAATAAAAGGAGAGAAAAGTGATGGGAGAAGAAAGATTAGCTTAACTTCTCGTTAAATACTTATAAATGAAAAGATAAGATTAGTGTGTAAATATCTATAAATTGAAATCAACTCGTGTATGTTAACTTAAAAAATAAATAAATGAAGAGGTAAAAAATTTGAGATGTATAATTTGGTTTAGCTTACAACTTTTTTTATTATTAATCTTATTCTTTTCAATCTATTCATCAACAATTTTATTTAAACTGATTCATGGAAGAAAACCAAAATTAAAACTATCAAACTCTATTAAAAAATTCATTTTATTTAATATTTGACTTGGGATAGGATGAGGCTACTCATAATTGCACAAGACACCCTTTGACTGATTAATGCAATGAACTTAAACCAAAATATTGATCAAGACACTTATTAATATTTAAAAATATACGTAAATATTTTCTTTACAAATATGAATATATAAATTTTCAACAGTATTGTGGAAAACAGAAGAGATAATAAATCTGAGATAAATACAAAGAAAAAAAAAGTTATAAGAACAATGTACCTTTTCAGATTCAAAAGAGGTGGCAGACGTGAGGTAAATACAAATATGCAAGAAATCATTTATCTTTTACTCACCATACTAATATTAAACCAAATTAGATGCTTGGTTACAAAATTTCCTGTAGTGGAAATTGATTTATTAAGGATCAAGAGAATGCAACACAACTATGAATATTTTGTTAGAATTTATCTCTCTCCACCTGATACGTAAAAACATCAAATTCAATGTTTCTAGTGCACATACCAATTCTTAGAATATGTTTAGTAAGTTATTCTACAAACTTATAAACAATTTTTTTACTGACTTATATTTATAAGTTTGATCAAAATATATGTAAGTGTATCATGATGTATTTTATCATAATTATTTTTTCTGTAATTGTCCTAATCACCACAGCCACAGTTAGAATTATATTTGGATGTTAAAGGTAAGGAATTAAAAAAATCTAAAAACCACATATTATAGATTAAAGTTACCAAAAAGAAAATGTTTTCTACTTTTTCTTTAGACATCTGACACTGATGTCTTTATTTGACACTGATGTCTTATAAATGGCTTAAAGACAGGGATTTTATCTCCCAAGTTATAATATCTTTATAAAATATCAAATCATCTGAATAAAATCATAAAATCATTACAGAAACCTCCACAACAGATTCCAGTCAACTCGTACATCAAATGAATGTCTAGTTGACACAGGTCACATTTTGTTTCGTCCTTTTTTCCCCTTAATGCAATATGAGTTTGTTCTTTTTCATTTTTCTAAAAATGGAGCAACTACAACAGTATTATTCAATATCTTTTATAATGGACCAATTAAACTTGTATAAAATACTGATCGATGAATAGTATACTGATTGATGAATAGTATGCATTAACATAAGCTGTATATCAAATTTCTCGGTCCTCATTTATGAGACTGAAAACTAAAATTCACAATAATTGCAATACCATTAGTTTTAAAAAACCTAAAGACGCCACAAGGAATTCTCAAACAAACATACAGTGAATGTTCACTTAAATAAATAGAAATATGCTAAGCCCATAATCACATACTAAGCTAGTATATTATTCTCCTTTCAAAACCATTCAATCAGAATCAGTAAAGTTCTGGTTACTGAAAAGACAAATATGTATGCATTTCCAATAAAACTTTGAAAAGAAAAAGCATAAATATAGGATAAATATTTACCCTCTTCTGCATGTACTCAATTTCAGCAAATAGCAGCTCGTTCTGATATTAATGTTTGGATAGTAGCACAAGCAAAAAGAGAAGCACAAAGTCAGAAAAATGCAGGGTTTAAGAAGATAACATAAACCAAATAATCCATCTATCAATTCAAAAGTTATAGAAGGAACTTGTTCATTACAAGACATACCTTTTTTGAACGAATCCTACTAATTCCTTTTTCTAGTTTACTCTCCAGGTTTTTGAGATCCTTGGTATTCATAGAGCCCAAAGACTCACCCATCATTTGCCTGCGATTTAGTTAATTTTACTTTTCATCAAGGATGCGCTGAAACAATACCAATTGTAAAATCTGCATGGTTTGATTTATTTTTTCAAAATCTACAATTTTCGAAATTTGAAACCCTTCATGATTTTGTTTTTTGAATTCATGTGAACGAGAATTTTCTTTTCTAAGTAAATCAAAAAGACAATTCCTCTTGCCTGTTGTTATTCTGCAGGCTACTTATTTGTGCACGAAGTTTATCTGCTTCTTGCTGGTAAAACTGGAAAATATATGTGAAATCACACATGGTTATGAATATCAGTTTATACAATAAATTACAACGATCATTAATTAATTAGGTTATAAATGATGCTAGGAACAGCTTACCAAATTGAAAGATTCAAAATTTTTCTCACTCAAAATACGTAACAAGGAACAAGCAATACCTGAGCATTAGCCTCAGAAGCAGATCCAGCAGACGAATCTGAACATGCTTTTTTGTACCTCTCAATAGTTTCTTTGACACTGCAAGGATGAATAGTATCAGTTTAAATTATTGTTCAAATTGTATATTAGCATGCTAAACGGATAAATATTTATAAAGGGTTTGTAAGCTGTTTCAATTTTCGAAATCGTCTAAAGAACAATTAATCAATAAATTCATTAGAAGTGAGGTCTCAGATTCCTTCAAGAAGCCATGTTTTTTTAAGAAAAAAAAATTCTAGCAAGGGAGTTATTGTTGCAAGTGGAATAAATAAAATATTATGGTATTATACTTTTATTAAGATCTTCGAAAGCTAGGCTCCAGAACTAATAACATTCTTAGAAGTTTATTTATCATCGTAGGTGTATGCCAAAAACTTTTTATGTATGGCCAAGTTATCACGATGGACATGAGTTACAGCCTTAATTATGAGTTACTAGAGGGCATCAACTTCTACTTGACTTGGTTGTTCACAAAACTTTTCAATTAGTGGTTAAATATAAGATGGAAAGGAACAATGGAAACACTGGGAAAGTGAGACCTTAAGTTGTATTTTTTTAGTAAAAAACATTTCTAAATTAGAACTCCACATGAGTGCTTATTCTAAGAAATTGCACAAATCTCGATCGGAAATTGATGATGTTTTCTTTATTTTCTATATTCTCTTGTTTAAACTCGTTGTCCATAATACTCACTATAGTTATCTGCATCGGAGGGAATGCCTACTGCCTAGATATGTTTGAGGAAGATAGAGTTAGAGGAAACTAATTATGTGTATGAGACTCTAGTTCAACAGCAAGCTCAGGGCAATATTGCTAACTTTATGAGAATCAAATTAAAAATGCAATGTATTGTCAAATATTTTAAAATCTAAAGCAAACACACGCAAAATGGGAGATCATTAGTCCTCTGATTACAGTGTAAGACTCTAGTGTTGGAATTTCTTTGTGTATCTAACCAATTTGATATCAACTATCCGGTATATCATGTACGGGTCCGGTTATAATGTCTCTTATTATTATTAATCATATGATTGGAATGAAAAAAAGTAAAAATTGGAAAGTTGAGATTTTTCTTTACTCAGAAGAACAAAAACCACCTTGTTATTAGGAGAATCTCTTAATTTTAAAATTTAAAGGTATTCCCTACTTTTTTCCAGAGTTCAGTGTTATTAATTCTCCAGGAGAATTATGTAGTAAAGTGAATTAGAGATGTGTTTGTCCTGAGGTCAGTACGTGTAGTATAGCATCTTTTCATTTCATACGCAAAAAGCACATTGTTCAACAGAGCTTAATTGGCTAATGGTTTGAAAAATTACCCAATATGACGTAAAATTACAATCAAAATGAATTGGAAAATTCATCATGAAAATATTTCTGGAGTCAGTAATTTCTTTGTTATTGAGGTGCGATTAAATACTCGGCCTTAGAATATTAATTGAAAATTAGTGTGAGAAGATAAGCAAAGAAATTATTATATATTAATACAAGACATAGTTTACAATTAAAGTTGTACCACCTTATTAATTTCATTCCCTGTGGTTTATTTTCCACAATTTTCTGACGGTTAAGTGATGAATGCTTACATAAGCATGAAACCTGCCCTTCCATCTTTCAATCTATGCCTAATCCTATTTGCTTGTTTTGGACATAGAAATGGAAAAAAAGGAGCAAATAAAGGGAAGGTGTCATGTCAATCTTATCTTAGTCGTATTCAATTCAATATGAAATTAAACATACAACGTTGGAGATTAGCCAGAAAGGAGTCTCTGGTTGAGGGTCAAATCATCCAACTCTCTCAGTTAACTCAACCTTAAACGCAACTCTTTAAAAGCAACGTCAAATGATCTCATTGGTCTGCCCTTCTAGTCAAACTCAGATTAGATGTGATAAAAATAAAATCTTAAAATAATGAAAAAAAAGTCACTTTCAATGTTCACAAGAAAAAAATAGGAAAACTATTTTCTTCTGATACCTTAATTTCCTCGAGCCACTGATTGGCTGCCTCTGCCACGCTGGCACAGGATCCCACTATATGATTGGTTCAACTATTTCTAGGGCTATTTTTTTCTCTGCCACTTGGGGGAACCCATTTCACAATGGTTAATACCCTCAGCCCCATTGAAATATCCACCTCGATGAACCAACATTAGACTCAAATATGAAAAGATTCATATATTATATACAATATATATAAAACAAACTTTAGTAGAATAAATCTAGATCGAATAAAATGAATAAAATATGATTAAATTATTGAGTCTTTTCTGTCTGAAAGTCTGTGAACATCACAGCCGTCCAATTCAGCTTCTGCTGTAGCAGCAGCAGCAATAGTTTTACGCTTCCCATTGCATGGAAGAAGCCAAATACTCAGAACTCTCCCATTGGCTACCTCAATTGTCGTACATTGTCTCTGCCACCATTTACCTCACTCACTTCAATCTTTAATATTTTTGTTCCCTCTTTCTCTCTCTCTCTCTCCTCGCTGAGCCTAGAAACCCTTTTCTTTTTCCTTCTCAGACAATTACTTTCATAGATATATGTATGCAAGATATTGAGCAAATGCAAATCCCAGTCTGGGGTACCAACAGTGGCGAAATACATTATGATAAGCCCAGTTGAGTCACTTTTATTGGTTCATCACTGTCTTTTGCTGTGCAATGTAAAAGAATTTTTACTCCTTGAATAAATAGGAGAGAAGGGGAACAAGGGAAAGAAAGAAAATTTTCCCAGAGAGGGGTGTTTCCACTATAGAAGATAAAACTTAGGGTTGAGATGGAAGAGGGAAAGAGAGCCCGGAATGGGAATCATGACATAAACTCTTTTGTCAGAGGGTCAAGAACTGAAAAATCATGTGTGACGTGACCAAAGATTCTTTCAACCAAGACGACTCTTAGACTAGTCCTTAAAACCCTAACCAGATTCACCAAACCTCATTTCCTAAAAGGAGGGGAAGATCAACCGAACAGATTTTAACTTTGAAACCGATTTTTACTACTTAGGAATTTTTATTAACCGAAAAGAAAAGAGTTTCAACTTACTTTTTTCCCGATTAAGTGAAATTCTTAAACTCGTGCTATTGCTAATAAAACCCTAATTAGGGTTATGTTTGACCTAGGTTAGATCTCGCACGTGGATGCAAGTGGGATTGGGGGAAACCTCGGTTCAAGTATCTGGACTGGAAAATCTTAATCTAGCTGTGACCTTTTTCGAGCTGATTTGGTTGTAAATGTTTAGAAGAGATTTTCTGCATAATCTGATATAAACCAGTGTTCGGCTTTATCAAAACCTAACATTAGTTTCTTTTTTTCCTTGCAAATTTATTTGAATTTGGCATATTGACAAATCTCTCGAAATTGTACTGTGCTTTGTTGATGTGCAACTGACGTATTATTAAGGAAGTGTCAAGGAGATGCAAGGATTGGGCTAATTGAAGCATGACAGCTTTTGCTTTAGGCCTTCTTAGCTTAGCCCCATAGATGTGTAAGAGAGAGAAGGTGAGAATAATGGAAGGGGAAAGAGGAAAAAGGAAACAGAAAATTAACAAGAATGGAGAGGGAGTTGGGGGAAGTGGCTGATCTCACAGACCTGCATAACTTCCCAAATCCTTACCTGTTGCTACTTACAACCATAGTGCTTCTATTTCTATCTATTGCACCAGATCTATGTATCTAACAGACCAAAAACTAGGAAAATTATCATAACCAGAAAAGAAAATATAAAAAAGGGGAAGGGAAAGAACAGAAAAAAGCTCATAGAAGGAAAAGGCCAAAATAGAAGTAAAGAAAGACAAGTGATCCTTGGTTGCAGGAAACAGAGATAAAAAGAGGAAAATCTCTATCTCTACTGCATCACAAAAATGATTATGTTCTTTGTGTTCAAATCCTTCAAAAGATCTATTTACAGAAGCAAAAATCTAAACGCAAAGTCCCCAAAAATAAACAAAAATTATCATTTCTAATCAACTTCACAGCGCAAAACTGGGAACGAAGGCTCAAAAGGAGTCCTGAGAAGGGAAGAAAAATGTGAAAAGAAATTGAGGAAAAAAAAAACTCATGGCTAGATACCTGTTATTAGCATATTCATAGAGACGGCCACGGCTAGAGAAGACGATTAGAGCAACCTCTGCATCACAAAGCACAGATAATTCATATGCTTTCTTGAGCAAGCCGTTTCTGCGCTTGCAGAAAGTGACTTGGCGATTGGTAGTGTTCTCAATCCGCTTGATCTCAATCTTCCCCCTTCCCATCTTCCTCTGTGGAGAAACTGACATGGATGGGTTTGGAAAAGCCATGTTTTGCAACCTGAATCAAGTGAAGCACAATCAATATATCAGTTCACATAATAAGGAGCTCATGTATATGTTACATATATATATGTAAGAGTAAAAATCACAAACAAATTCTGGTCTTTTCAACTAGTTTTGTCTGATTAAGGAGAGTATGGAAAGGAAGTTAAACTTGGAATCTCTTTACACCGCGCAGCCTAACTTTTACATCATTAGTTAAAAATTTTGATTTGAGCCAGTAACAAAGTGTGCAATCTAGCAGGGCTTGTGCTGCCGAATCTGGGTTTGGAATGAAAAGAATTGATTGACCCAGAAGACTTGAAGCAACGAAGATGGATTTCAAAGGATGTTTCAAAATTTTGCAAACTAACCTGGTGAGAAAACAAAAGGAGAATATAATTAAGGACACAACAGATTTTTGAGCTAGCCCTCGAAAACTTTTTTTTCCTTTCTTTTTCTTTCCCTCTCGTTTTCCACTTAGCAGAAGAGGAAGGAGATATCAGAAAATAAAAGCAAAGTGGCCGAAGAATTGGGTATTTATAAAGTGAAAAAACGACATTTCATCCATCGTGGTTTATGCATCAGAAACTATACTCATCTGCCATCTTTATATTTTATTTACTTTTCTTTGTCCTTTTTTTTTTTTTTCATACCCTCACTGGTTTAGTGGCGTATATTGGCCATGAATCAAAATAAGAAGGATAAACCTGGAATAACAATTTGGATTAAGCTTCGTTAACTTTAAAAGAAAAAAAGGAAAAGAAAAATTGAAGAAGGAAGTAGGGCATATGAGAGAGAGAGAAACGAAGTTCTGATAACGATATTAATAGGGTGAAAAGGACATTGGGCTAAGATGCAAGAAAAATTTATACTCTATCGAAGAGAGAAAAATAAGTTTTCTTTACAGAAAAAACCCAAGAGGTTGATTCAAGAATACAAAATTTTACATATGATGGATGACAAGTTTCAATCCCCACTCTTTTTTTTAACCAGATAAATACTGATACACCTTAAATTTCCAGGGTGTTTTTTTTATGAAACGATACTTATTGGTATTTTATAAGTGAAAGACTTAAACTCACAATCCTTTCATTTTTCTTTTCAAATGTATCAAGTAAATCTTTTATAATTTTGAGTTTTCTTATCTGAAATTGAGATTGTATGTGAAATGAATAAATCTTTGTCATGGAATCCTACAAAAACGCTAATATCATTTTTTTAATTTTAATTTGAATCATATATATCGATCTTAACCTCAAAGTAAAACACACATATATTTAAAAAGAATAACTTTTTATCCTCACATTTTATTTTTATATAATTTAATTGTTTTAGAAATTAACTCACTGGCGATATTTATAATTGAATTTTAAATTAATTTCCTATTATCTTTAATCTTAAGTTTGTCATTACTATTAAGTATTAGTTGTTCTTATAATCTCATTTAAGCATGTGTTTTCTTCAAAATCCTTCTCTCTCTCTCTCTCTATATAACAAATATATATATATATATATATATGTATGTATTTTAAATTATTTACTTTTTTTTTTCAATTTACGTTTTAATTTTCATAAAAAAAATTATAATTTTTAGTTTTTATTAAAAAAAAATTGTATATATCTTAAAAATGAAAAATCTGTATATAAATTTCAACTTAAAAGAGACAAATATTTAGATGAAAAAATAACTAATTTAAACTTATATAATGTATCATCGTAATTCTTGAGTTTAAATAACAAAACTTTCATTCGGCAAGATATATGTGGACATGGTCCACTGGAGCACCATCCAAACCAAGTCACTGATATAATTATTAACCATAAATTCAATGACTGGTATTGGTGTTCTGTAATCAATTAGTAAGGTATAATTAAATATACTAAAAGCCCTCGGTATAATTAAATATAATATTATATATATATATATATATATATATATAGTTTTTGGCTGAAGGGAAGAGTTAATCTCTTTTACATCCCATTTGCATCAGATTTTTTTTAAGAGTTTAACAAACATGTATTATTTTAGGAGTAAAAGGATTGTTATTCTTAATGAACTTTCGTGGGGATATTTTAATATAATAAAATGACTAAAAAGATGTCTAATGTGATCGGTATTAGACTTAAAATTGTATTATATATAGTTATGAGGATTATTTTTAAGTTATTAAAATAAATTCATTCTCTCGCTTTAATAAATATAATTTTATCAGTAAAAGAAAATAATTTTGAATATGAGATTATGTATGTTACCTACTAATAATTAATCATGTAAAAAAAAAGAGAACACAGAAAAGGGTAACACTTTATCAAGATTTCTGCATCATTATAGAGTTCAAGAAAACAGAGTAAGAAAAAAGAGGGAAAAAAAAACTCAAGAAGCAGAATTGAAAATTTATAAAGCGTGTCATCCGGTGAAATTTAATAATTAATAGAATACTAGGGAATTCAATAATTGTGGAAAAAATATACTAAGATTCTTTTTAGTATAATTGTTTGTTAGACAGTATAAAATATACATATGACATAAAATTTGTTCCTTGTTGTTCAACTTATGCCAACATGTTAGAAAGATCTATTTAGACTCGTGGTTTTTTTTACCATTATAATCATTTGACTTATTCCCAACTTACTAATTTATATGAGAATATACTTCTACTTAACTTTAAATTTATAAACCTCGGTCTTGCTTTGTTGGTTGTTTTTAGTTTTTGTGGCTACACTTTTGTTTGCTTCTCTTTTTTAGGCCTTGTCTTCTTTTTGTTGCTGTTCAAACATTTCATTTGCTTTTTGCTATTTCTCTCTTTATATTTTACCTTCTTTTAGATACCGAGAAACTCATTTTTAAGGAAATAAAATGTCTTAGAATCTTGGAATCCTAGTTTTGTTTAAGGGTATTAGATTTAAGAGTTTATTATGCCAGTGGATCAAATATATGATCCAGAATATGTGAATTAGTAAAACAATATTTTGATATTTCAAACAACCAAGTTACAATCTGATTTTAGATGTAATTAATGTGTTAATTAAAAAAAATAAAATTTTAAAAAATGTAAAAAGAAAGGAAGTAAAATAGTGGGTCAATTGATTACATGAATTTATTAAAAGGAGTCAACATATCATCATTATTATAAAATTTTAAAAAGAGTAGACTTTATTTGATTTAAGTTGGGGTTATACAAGGTGGAATCCTCCCATTATTGGACTGATGTTAAGATTATGTACTTAGGCAAAGATGGTATAATTACGTATTTTATCATGTAATAAAATTGTTTAAATATAATAAAAGGTAATGTAACTAGGGTGTTCATTGATTTAAGTTATTATCACAATTTGACTGGGTTGAGTTTCATTTATGACAAGATAAAGCTCAATTTAACCTACTATTATATAGGTTGGATATATAATGGGTTTAATATGAATCCAAAACTCACTCTTATATATTATTATGTTATGGACATATTGTATTCTATATTTTTTATTTATTAAATTAGTTTGGAAAAACTTATTATGAGTTGAATTACTAATTTTTTTAGAATCTTAAATTATTTTTTATAAACGTTGTGTTATTACGTGTCAGTCAGTAATTAATAATTTTCTTTTTAATGTTGTTACATTAACCCATAAATTATGATCTTGCATTTTTATTTTTTTTGGGATTCCGTAAATTACAACTTCTTAGGCATACTTATAATGAGGGAGCAAAGAGGTTTGGTTTATACATATAGTTATGAGGAAATAGATATAAAATATGGTAAAGTGATAATAAGCATTGATGTCCCCAAAAGGGATGTTAGCATGTTGTGTAGGCAGAAATACGTTGATCTTGGTGAGAAATGCAGGGACACATACCGTGAATGAGATTATGGCAGTGAGATGAATCAAAAGTCAATTTCAATTTAACTGAGAATGTGAAAAAATATGTGATTTTGAAGCCATCCAACAACACACTACTTATGCCTTGTCACTAACATGAACATGAAGATGCCACGACTTCCAAGCTGAATTTGACTGTTAGGTAGCCTCCGATTTGCTTTCGAAAAACTATTACACCTATACATCTCACACGCCTTCATGTCTATTTTTCATTTATAGGAATACTTTCAAAACCAATTATAAATAAACTTATTATTATTTAAATATATTTTTTATTTTCTTCTTTTTAAATGAAAACCGACACAATAACTATTACACGATTTATAATTACATAAAGCAATAAGTAAATCGATCGGAATTAACATTCTCACTAAATGAATACAATTTGTCTTGAAACAGAAACTAATAATTAACTTCTCTTTCAGAGACAATAAATATCCAGTTTAGAGCATTTCAATATTGTTATTTTATTTAGTGTAACTCGTATAAAACCCGGAATATATTTAGAAACACGAGTTAAAATTTTATGCTTACATATTATTTAACATTTAATGAACGTGAGTTGTCATAGTTTTTTTTTATAGCATATTATATCTTAATGACATATAAATCATCTCAGAATATATACGAACGAAAATATAATTTATTATTAATTAAAATTAATTTACTTTACTAAATTTTAAAATGATTAAATATGTTTTTTCGTTATCAAAGTATAAACAATGGTATTTCATTTTTTAAATTAAAATATAAAGTATTTTGTCCATGTATTTTATTAAAGTCATATTCTCTTGTATTATATTAAATTGTGAAATTCTATTTGTCATATGGAAACATTCAATGTTTGAGCTGTTTAAAAATGACTTTGAACAAAATATTATTACAATTTATGATTAAATATGTTTTTATCCCGAATTATTCATTAAAATTATATTTCGTCCCTATTTCATAGTATATATCAATTTTTTTCCCACACTTTATAAAAGAATGTAAATGTTCTTAACAACAAAGTGTCAGAGTTTTCCTTTCTTGCAATTATTTTACACTCCTTTCTAATGGTGGTTTGAGCAACCCTAACGATGGTTATAGAGGCAAGTGACGATGGTCAATCTTAATATATATAGATGTCATATCTGTTAAAACAAAATCCTTTCTATCAATAACTCCATCGCTTCCTTATCTCCCATTCCCCTCCATTCTCATTTGGCCCATCATCTTCTCTACCACTTCCTTTTGCGTCTTAACATTCACATGCTATATTCTTTTCTTTCTTGCCTTGCTTGTTGTCTTCCTTACTCAATCGCTCCTATTGCCACCTCATCAAAATTTTCTCCCACTTCCTTCCTTACTGCAAATCACATTCTCCCTTCATTTCTCTCTACAATCACTATCAGGATCGTTCTTGTAATCACCACGACCAAACTCATCACCTCTAAATCTATCTCCTCCAAAAGAAGAGTTGTAGTGAGAGAGAGACTGCAATGTTATTATTTGCTGTCAACTTACAAAGACATTTTACATTATTTTAAAATAGGGATGAATACATTTTTAAAAAATTATTTGGAAATGGAAAACGTAGTTAACCCTAAAATTTATTATTACTTTTTAAATCATAAGTTTTGGTTATAATCATAGCTATTAGACTTTTATGTTTGAGAGCTAATATTAGTAGAATAAACATG